CTGGATGGGGGCTGCCAGCATTCCCGGCCCCTGGGCTCGCAGAATTCCTGGGTGCTCGCTTCGGCAGGAGCGCACGGCTCCGGTACCGCGCCTGGTGCTTGCTCTGCTTCCCCGCGAGCCCGATGCGCTTGCGGGGAGCCTGTCGTCGGAGGTTGTCCAGGTGGTTCCCAAGGGTTTTCCGTCCCATCCTTGTCTTCATAACGCTTCTTAGAACTTCGTGACCCTCGGCAGGGCCCGGGGGGGATGCAGCAGCAAGGAGGATGCAGCCGGGAGGGGACTGCTCCTGCCCGTGCTCACCTTGCTGGACCCCTGGCCTGGCCGAGTGCCTCTGGGGGGGCTGGAGGTGCTCTTGCTCCCCTGCAACCTGCCGTGGTTTACAGCTGAGCCCAAACTCCACCCGGTCCCTCTCCCCGGTGGTTAAAACCCTCGCGGGGACCATGGCTGGCGCGGTTCTGCTCCACCCCTCCTGGGGAAGGGGCTCCCCGTTACGAGGGCCAGCAGAGGACAGTTTTATTTACTCTGACCTCCGTTTAGGGCTGAGCGTGTCCCAGCCTTGGCAGTGCCAACCAAAGTTCCACCTTGGGTTTCAGAAGCCGGTTAATGTGCGGGTGAGATAATTGCACGTAAAGACCAGCCTCTCGCATTCAGTTCATATTTAGTGGGCTCTGCCAGCGAGCAAAGGTTTGGTAATTTGTTCCAAAGCTGGGGCTGGCAATGTAAAGAAAAAAATTGATCATGACAGGAGATGCCAAACCGCAGCCTATTCCTGCGAATTAATATTCATATATGCCGGGTTTAGTGGAACATTAATTATGTATTTAATCAAGGCCTGTTTGTTCTGGTTTATCTTTGTACCTTGGGTGGCTGTTATGCTGAAGACTTCACATTAATTAAAATGTTACTGGTGTATCACAAATAACAATTAGCGAGGTGCGAGTCGCGCCGCCTTTCTCTTTGCTGCTAATTTAGGAGGGAGGAGGGGAGCCCGGTGGGACCGAGCTGGTGGGGCCATGGGGCCGCTGCCGGAGCTCCTGGAGGGGCCGGGTCTGCGCCGAGCTGCGGTGGTGTGCGGACAGGGGTGTCCCCGCTGCCCGGGGGCTCCTCTGGCGGGGG